GTATGTTATCTACTTAGTGTATAGCTTGGTTTTTATTTATTCGTACTTTATTACTATTCGTAGCTTCCGCACTGTGCACATGGTTACGTCACTCTCGCGTGACGGCCAGCATGCCCTGATTTCGGTCGGGGTGTGTTAACAGTACCCTTGTAGAAGGTTACAAATCGCCGAAGCTCCTAGGCTAGTTCTCCAAAATATGGTGGGTGAGGAACCCTAACTAGAGCTTTGCAACATACATATGTCAGAAAAGAAGGTCCTACCAAAACAGGGTCTTCTAATAAAACTGAAAATTTAATTAAATAATAAATAACAGTTTATTAGTTATATTAGAATTTGAACTATAGAGAAAATCTCTCTTGACTCACCAAATCAGGTTTGATTTGGTCCCAAAAGTTCTCTTTTTAAAGCTTGACATGCCCTCCTCAAGTTCTTAGTTTGAATATTCCTCTAAAAACATCGTCTTGACCATCAAAATGCCTAAAATGTCTCAGAACATCAACCTCACTCCCACAAAAAATGTTGGTGTGATGTGCAAATTTTCAAAGTATAACTGATAAATTAGTGTCTAAGTAAAATAATAGAAAAGACTATATTGTGGGATTAATCTTTCATTACATCCATTTGTCCTGACATTTAAAATAATCTATAGATATTAACTTAGAAACGAAATTTTTTATTGACACAAAATTTAAAAACCTAAAATTTTGCCCTTCACCCCTAAATTAAATCATATATTGTCCTCAAGGTGTAAAAATAAATAAAAACATATAAACAATCACAATAAACTGCCTGAACACACTAAAACAAATCAGAAAAAGAAAGACCTAAATAAAGAATAAGAAAATAAAATAGACACAAAATAAAAATGAAACTATGAATATGGAAAAACGAAACAAAGAGAAACAGAGGGAATTAAAGAAAAAGCAAGGAAGTGATGTCCCTGCGATTCCAGAGAATGACCTGATGATGTAAATGGCGGATTATACGCACGTGGGAACTCACACGAGTGAGAAACCCTAGTGCTCCGGTATAAAATATTTATGATTATTTGTTGACTTCATATATTTAGATGAATAAATGATATCAGATTCAAATAATTTTTTGTAGGGATAATCTTCAAATAAATATTTCAAGATTGAACGATTCTAATTACTAATTATGAAAAATTATAGTGAAGATACGTTCTAAGCAAGTAAAGGAAAAGAAGACAATGTTTTACTATTACATATCCATATATAGGTTTATCTTCTCTTACTAACATATTATCTAACAAAGTGAAATATTGAATTAAAGTCTTCTTAAAATGACAAATACGGCAGTGATATGTGAACATGTCATTTCTTTTCATACTGATTCATGTCTTCTTTGATTCCAAGTAAGTAAACATGTTATTAAAGTCTTAGAAGTGCTTTTGTATGAAACTTACAATGATTACGAGTATTTTTCTTAGATAGTTCTCGCACATAAAAAGAAGGCTTTGCCTAGTAGTTTAAAGAGAGATTTTGTATGACCCTTAACACAATGAAATCAAAGATTTGCATAGGATTCATAAGATTCGCCAGATCCTAGTCCCTTTCATGTTGGATTTTTTTGTAGACCTTACTTGAAAGATACTCGATATTGTTTAATAATGAGCTAAAATTATGATACGTCAATGTTCAATCAGTTCTGAAGTAGTATTTTTTTTGTTAACAAAATATTGAGGTAATACCTTAATTAGGGTTTGTATCAAGCGATTTTTTTTCCGGTGAAATCGAAGTTCATTCAGTTGCTTAAATGGGTTTTGATTTTGAAGCAAGGAATGCGATCAAGCTGAACTTATTCCAACCGACAAAATGAGTTTCGTTTCAACCCTTTAATTCTTTTCATTTTAGTAGTACTTCTGTTTTTAATGCTAGAAAGAACAATATTTGGTTACTAAAAGATGAGTACGAGTTCCTACTCAAAATTTTTGTGTTAATGTTAGAAAGAACAATATTTGGCTACTCAAGGATTAGTACGAGTTCCTACTCAAAATTATTCGTGTTCGAATTACAGAGCTTTGTGTTTATGATGATAACCGTTCATATTATGAATCATTTTATAACGATTATATCTGCAAAAATTAAGATCATTTAACCAATCTATTGTAGCAAATATATAAACTATTCATAATACTTTTAGTTATTCCGTTCATCTTTTTTTTTTTCACTTAAATAGAGTGATTTTTTGCATAGACAATCTTTGTATAGTTTTGTTCAAGTTTACCGTGTCATGAATTTTCATATCACAAAAAGACAATACTCTTGATTCTCTTTGAACAATAACATTTTATTCTTCTTTACAGTGATATTCGTATCGTATGTGTTACTTTATAGTTGCCATCAATATTTAATTAAAATTTGTCGCATATATAGTCCCTTTTACTTTAACTTATGCTGAGGAAGACAAAAGACGAGTAAAGAATTCTCAAAATATCACGTTAGAGATTTTTGTTGGAAATAACGTTTGTGTTCCCTTTATAAGAAAACCTGCTTATCGCCCAATTTATGACTAATATGTCTTAAGTGTTCCAACAACATGATTGGAATCTACTTATCCTTTCACTTATATTAGGTATCTGGAATTAAACCTAACATATGAGAAATGTTAAGGAAACTTTCTTAAAATGAGACTCTGCTTAGACACTCTGTCATCTCACAGATTAACGTCAATTCTCGTGCTAATATTATAAAACATTGTGCCGAAAACATGAGTGACAAGGAATCTATGAAGAGTTTCATTCTTAAAAAGTCTCCTTAGCATTTGTTATATATGTTTGGTGCTATGTATAAGTTAGAAACCAACTTACTTTAACTTAGTTTTACATGCATGGGTTGGGGATTGTTGTAGGTATCCGGAAATATAGTAAAGTCGTGTCCAACCCTACAAACTAAGGGTCCAACCCTACAAACTAAGGAAAAAAAACTACCAAATAGTTGAAAATCAAACTACGGATTACAAATGAAGATTACTACGAAACTATGAATATTATTTATAATGAAGAATGGTGAGACGGCTACAAATTAAGGACTATATTTTGACTGACTTGTTCACTAGTGAATAAATTATACCCAAATCTCTATATGAAAACCTAATTGTAATGGACTGGCCCTAAAACCCAAACAATCAAATAACTAGAAATATTAATGTTTTCTAGTACTACCTTCAAATTCATAGTGGTAAACAACATGAGTTTGCCAACAAGCAGATGTGGATACAGGCTCTGTTAGTCGGACATACATGCAGGCTTTACTACACGGACATACAAGTAGGCTCCGCTACACGAACAGACAGGCAAATTCAGATAGATAGCAAATAGATATAGATCCATATAGAATATGGACAGACCTTAATGTAGACAATTCCCGTTTTCAGCAGACAGATGTTGGAAGTATGGATCCCGTCAATAAGAGGACAAGATTTTCATTTTCCATATCCCAACTGTAATACCAAACAAACAAACGATCCAATTTTTTACTATGTACACAACGGTGGTGGTAGAAGGTATTCAGAATTTTCTTTTTCTCTATCTAGCTTTGGGCCCTTATTTGGGCGCTTTTAGGTTAGCTTGGATGGCCCTGTTTGTTTTGTTTATGTTTATACGGGCCTCTGGTTTGTAAATTATTGTTAGAATAAAATTTTGTTCCTGTCGTTTAAAAAAAAAAATTTTTTTGTTCCTTTGGTTTGTAAACAGTCAAGTTCTTTTATTTTTTACTTTCTTTTTCTTTTCTCTGCGTCCTTTTTTCGTATCTTTGTTCCTTGTTCTTTTGTCATTGGTGGGGGCAAGTCAGATAAGAGGGTGCAGGTGTGATGCAGATTGGGTGCGGGTGTGGTTTCAAACAGGTCGTTGTGATTCATCAAGTCAGATCGCAAAGGACAAGAAAGGTGTGATGCGGTGTGGTGGGTTCGATGGTTCTCGTCTCTGGTGCAGAAGGAATTACAGGCGGGGTGTGCAGCAGCGGATGGTGGTTCAATGGTTGCAGTAGTCAAGTACGGTGCTGCGGAGATGGATCCAGGTGTGGCTGCGGATTGAGGTGGTGACGCGATGCGGGTTCAAGCAGATAGTGGTGCGGGTTAAGTATGTTTCCAAACAGTCGTCGGCGCGACTACTTCTGTGCGACTCCATTTAAAAAAAAAAAAAAAAAATCAACGACAAGCACGGTCCAACACAAAATGAAAAAAAACAAAAAAACAAAAGTACAAAACGAACAATGCAGATAGACGAATGACACCGAAGATAAGCGGATTAAATCCCGAATTATTGCTCTGGTACAAGTTGAAAATTAAAGTACGCAATTACTATGAATATTATTTATAATTAGAAGACTATACTTTGATTGACTTAAGAGTGAATAACAAGCATCCAGAGTGGGTCATATCATTAAGTGTTGCATAATTCGAGTAGACTTAGCAAGGTTGCACAATGGCAGTTAGCATCGCAAAAAACCGAAGCTTATCGTTAGTTTCTTATTAAGTTAACGTGTAATGTCATGTCGTGTCATATCAATATTACAAAATCTTTTTAACTAGTCAAGATTTAAGTTACTTCGTAATACTTTAAATTTTTGAATTCGAAAACCCCAAAAACATCGAAATAAGTTTGATTTGTCGTTAAATATAAAATCAGACTTGCTTAATTCAGGCACCAAGTTGTTGAATTCAACAATATATCGTCAAGTATTTAACAAAAATATTTATCCGTGATTACCTAGAAACAATGAAGCAAAAAGACATTGGTAAACGCAAAATCCATTCAGTCGGTTCAATTGAATTCCAACACCGGCAATTTCAATTACATACATCTGTTTGTTAACAAGGGAAAAAAACGACAGTACGACATTATCCCAGCACTATCCCTGATGAGATTACACTAAACCCCGCACCCAAACTGACCCCGAAGGACATCATTTCCCTTTACCCCAATCCAAGTCCACCTTTCACGGCCCACCTGTTTCACTATCTCTCTCTGTCTCTCTACAAGGAGAGATGAACCGCGACCTCAGGACCATCGCATCTCTCTGCAGCTGAAACAACAAGAAACCCTAACGAAAACCTGCAATCGACGCTTCCTCTCTCTCTCTCTCCTCTCCTCTCCTTTTCTCTCTCCAAAAATTCTCCCCGTCGCTTCTTCGCCACAGTTCGTCTCGGTATATTCTTTGCGTCACCCGCATGCTTTTCTTTTCGCTTTATCGCATCGAATCGATCTATGTGTTCAGTTTTCGAATCGATTGATTGTAGATCACTTTTTAGCTGTTTACTTTCTGTTTGTTTCTTGAGAAAAGTACACGAAGGAAAATTTTGATATTGTTTTCTGGTGCTTTTATTTTTTGTTCGGTGAGATAAATTCAATCAGCTGAAATCCGGAGGCGTTTGAATCGATCTTGTGATTTTAGGGTTTAATTTTAGTTTAAAATGATATAATAATATTTATAGTGCAATTAATCGGAGATTGTGTTAGGGTTTGGTTTTAGAGTGTGGAATTTGAGACTGATTACTGATAAAAATGAGATTTTGGTGTTTCGGCAGTTCATCGCACTATATGCTTCCTAGAAAGAGAGAAGCAGTGGGCGGAGAGGTTGTAGTAAACGAAGCCACGGAATCTCCGATCAAGAAGCTTCGCGGAGCTGCGGCTACGGACGGTTCTAAGAGCAACGAAAACAATAACACCACCACTTTTAACAACAACAACAACAACAGTAGCAGCGTCGACGAATTGCCGATCATGGCATTGGGCAACGGGAGCTCAAACGATATCGATGAAGATCTCCACAGCCGGCAGCTGGCGGTGTATGGCAGGGAGACCATGCGCCGGCTCTTTGCCTCCAACATTCTCGTCTCTGGAATGCAGGGCCTCGGCGCAGAGATTGGTATGTGAAAAACGTCGTTCTTTTGGATGATATTGGGAATTTAATTGTTCTTATAATAACTGAGAATAATAAAGAGAAAGATGTAAATGTCATTTCTTTATTTATGGAATTGTGTTTTCCATTTTTAGGTTAGACATGCATAACCCGATCATGCATGAGAAAACTGTGAAATGATTCACTGTTTTGTATCCTATAATAAGGAGCTCGAAGAGAGCACTTTGCTAATCACTTCCTAGTTCGTTTGCGTAGAAATTATGGTGGTACAAATAATTGGTAATTCTGTGGTTTATGTAATGAGATTGATATTTGTTGCAGCAAAAAACCTTGTTCTTGCCGGTGTCAAGTCTGTGACCTTACATGATGATGGAGTTGTTGAGTTGTGGGACTTGTCAAGCAACTTCTTCTTTTCTGAGGATGATGTTGGAAAGAATCGGGCCCTTGCCTGTGTCCAAAAATTACAAGAACTAAACAACGCTGTTCTCATTTCGACCATAACAACTGAATTGACAAAAGAGAAACTCTCTGATTTCCAGGTGACCCTCGTTTCTTTGTTACTTCTTTTGTTGCATGATGGCTTGATATTGCTAACTTTTAATTTACAGGTCTGTGGTTAAATCCAGTTTCGTATTTACATTTTTATAATTGAGGGAAATCAGTGTTCTTGATTATCATATTTGTTTTGCTTGCCTATGAACATGAGGAATATGTTTGAGTATTCTCTCTCTTTCTGTCAATGTTTCTTTAGAAGTTCAAAGCCTTTCCAATTATTGGAGCCAGAATGGTGTTTCTGTTTTCCTGTATTACGGCAGTTTTTTTGCTAACTTTTATTTTAGAGGATTGTGGTGAAATCAAGTGAATCAATGTTCTTGAAATCATATATTCTCCTTGCCTAATAACACAAGGTGTATCTTAGACTATTTGCTCGTTTTTAACAATGTATAGTTTGAATGGTTTTGTTCCTGTATAGTTGTGTTTATCTACTAACAAACAGTAGTAGACGGACTTTCTTGTACTTTTGGGAAGAGGTGCATTTGGATAAACAAGTACTGATATTGTTATTAAGCTGGATTCCGAGTGAATTTTCCTCTCAAGTTTTGGAGCTGTGTTTGTATTTCTCTGTATAGTTATGTTTTATATGCTTTAATTATTCAGTAGGCAACTGTGTTTAGCTTTGTATTTCAATTTCTGCAGGCTGTAGTTTTCACTGATATTAGCCTGGAGAAAGCAATTGAATTCGATGACTACTGCCATAATCATAAGCCTCCCATATCTTTTATAAAATCCGAAGTACGAGGCCTTTTTGGCAGTGTATTTTGTGACTTTGGCCCTGAGTTCACTGTTCTTGACGTTGATGGTGAGGATCCACATACAGGCATAATTGCATCGATTAGTAACGACAACCCTGCTCTCGTAGCATGTGTTGATGATGAGAGGCTTGAGTTCCAGGATGGGGATTTAGTTGTGTTCACCGAAGTACATGGAATGACTGAGTTGAATGATGGAAAGCCGAGGAAGGTTAAGAATGCAAGACCCTACTCATTCACAATCGAGGAGGACACTACCAATTATGCTGCGTATGAGAAAGGGGGTATAGTCACACAGGTGAAGCAACCCAAGGTGTTGAACTTTAAGCCTTTGCGAGAAGCACTTAAGGATCATGGCGACTTCCTTCTGATTGACTTCTCCAAGTTTGATCGCCCACCTCTCCTACACTTGGCATTTCAGGCACTAGATAAGTTCATCTCAGAGTTGGGGCGTTTCCCTGTTTCTGGATCTGAGGATGATGCTACAAAATTCATATCTTTGGTAACTAACATCAATGATAGCTCAGCAGATGGGAAGCTTGAGGAGATTGACCACAAGATTCTTCGTCATTTTGCATTTGGTGCTAGAGCTGTGCTAAATCCCATGGCTGCTATGTTTGGTGGTATTGTTGGACAAGAAGTTGTGAAGGCCTGTTCTGCTAAGTTCCATCCTCTTTTCCAGGTAATTACTCAAACCAAACTTGAAATTTTTTTGCAAGAATGATCGACACTGCTTTTTGGTTTTGAATCTTTACCTGGTCCGCTAGGTTTGCGTTTGTATCATTATAATTTAAGACTTGTTTTTCCTTGCCTTGTGGACAGTTTTTCTACTTTGATTCAGTTGAATCCCTTCCGTCAGGGACCTTGGATCCTAATGACTTTGAAGCCTTTGAACAGCCGATATGATGCACAAATTTCAGTATTCGGAGCCAAGCTCCAGAAAAAGCTGGAGGATGCAAAAGTGTTCACTGTCGGATCTGGTGCACTAGGATGTGAGTTTTTGAAGAATTTAGCATTGATGGGTGTGTCTTGTGGTAAAGAGGGGAAGTTAACAATTACAGATGATGATGTTATTGAGAAGAGTAACCTTAGCAGGCAATTTCTCTTCCGAGATTGGAACATTGGGCAGGCTAAATCAACAGTAGCTGCCTCTGCTGCTACGTTGATAAATGGTAGTCTGAATGTTGAAGCACTGCAGAATCGCGCAAGCCCGGATACTGAAAATGTGTTTGATGATACTTTCTGGGAGAATTTGGATGTTGTTATCAATGCTCTGGACAATGTGAATGCAAGGCTTTACATTGATCAGAGATGCTTGTATTTCCAGAAGCCCCTTTTGGAATCAGGAACACTAGGTGCCAAGTGCAACACGCAGATGGTCATTCCTCACCTGACTGAAAATTATGGAGCATCGCGGGACCCACCTGAAAAGCAAGCACCCATGTGTACTGTCCATTCCTTCCCTCACAACATTGACCACTGCTTGACATGGGCCCGATCTGAGTTTGAGGGTCTACTTGAGAAGGTGCCAGCTGAAGTAAATGCCTACCTGACCAATCCTCATGAATACACTGCTGCAATGAAGAATGCTGGTGATGCTCAGGCCAGGAACAACTTGGAAAGTGTCATTGAATGTCTTGACAAGGAGAGATGTGAGACGTTTCAAGATTGCATAAACTGGGCCCGTCTAAAGTACAGTTCTTGTTTATCAATATTCTTTTAGTTTTCATTTAATCATAATATTCTTTCCTGTATCTAATCAATTGTTCTTAATGGAAACAGATTCGAGGACTACTTTGTCAACCGTGTGAAGCAGTTAACATATACTTTTCCTGAGGATGCTACAACCAGTAGTGGGACACCATTTTGGTCTGCCCCCAAGCGTTTTCCTCGCCCGCTGCAGTTCTCAGTTGATGATCTCAGCCACCTTCAGTTTTTAATGGCAGCATCTATACTACGAGCAGAGACATTCAACATCCCAATTCCTGATTGGGTAAAGTCTCGTACAAAGTTTGCTGATGCTGTTAACAAAGTGATGGTACCAGATTTTCAGCCTAAGAAAGATGTGAAGATTGAGACTGACGAAAAATCTACAAGCGTCTTACCAGCATCGATTGATGATGCTGCGGTTATCAATGAGTTGGTTGTGAAGTTAGAAAAATGCAAGGAGCGGCTGCCACCAGGCTTCAAGATGAACCCGATTCAGTTTGAGAAGGTTTGTTGAAGGCCTTTTCTTATTATGTAGAAATTATCTCTAGACATCGTATTTATTTGTTCATCTCAGGCTTGCGGCTTCTGAGATAGAGTGACTTCCATGTATGGTAAAATGTTGGAGCTACCTTTGAGGGCAACCATGGTACATGTGCAAGAATAAAGTTCTTTTTTGAAACATGCAGATAATAAGCAATGTATAAGAAATTTCGAATAAGGGTGTTAGCATCTCCCAAACTTGTTAGGTCTTCTGCATGTTCTGTAGAAAGTACTGAAGTACATGACGGTTAAATCTTGCAGAACTAATTATAGCCCACCCTAATGAGGAAATCAACTTAATTATTTATAAGCAATTAGCTACACAACTGTTACAATTTGACATTGTTAGATCGTTACTCGTTAGGTGTGCGTTTAGTGTATTTATAAGCATTGTTATTGATATTGGGGAGGGATTTGTTGCTTAGTGCTATATCATAAGATAAATGCTTCTTGTATGATGGTGTCGTATCCATTTGAATTAGAGCCAAAAGTATGTGAAAGTTCAAAGTTTACAGGAGGCGACTTTCTTTTTCCTTTCTCATTTTCCCTCAGAATCCTGCAACTGATATGGCGCTTTTCATATGTTTTGATGCAGGATGATGACACAAACTATCATATGGACCTGATAGCTGGATTTGCAAACATGAGGGCCAGGAACTATGGCATTGGTGAAGTTGACAAGCTGAAAGCCAAATTCATTGCAGGAAGAATCATTCCTGCGATTGCAACAGCTACTGCTCTGGCAACTGGCCTTGTCTGCTTGGAGCTGTACAAGGTTCTGGATGGAGGGCACACGGTTGAGGACTACCGAAACACCTTTGCCAATCTCTCCCTTCCTCTGTTCTCCATGGCTGAACCAGTTCCTCCAAAAGTCATCAAGCACCAACATATGAAGTGGACAGTATGGGATAGGTGGATTATAAGAGACAACCCAACTTTAAAGCAGCTCCTCAAGTGGCTCGAAGACCAGGGCCTAAGCGCGTACAGCATCTCCTATGGAAGTTGCCTGCTCTTTAACAGCATGTTCCCGAAGCACAAGGAGCGCATGGACAGGACCATGGTGGACTTGGCTACGAGTATTGCGAAGGCAGAACTGCCTCCAAATAGGAATCACTTTGATGTGGTGGTGGCTTGCGAAGATGAAGAAGAGAACGACATTGATATCCCGCAAATCTCCATTTACTTCAAGTAGGCATTTCGGTTGATGAGCTTATCAATCAAAACTGGAATGCAATCTTTAGGATGCAAACCCTTTGGCATTTGACTTTTAAGTTTAATACAAGCAGCAAACGGAGTTTTATATGTACTCAATTATATGTCTAGACTTTAGAGTAGCACCGATTGTCCGAACTTCGTTATGTTCCTGCCGATTTCAGGTCCAGGTCCATCTGGTTATACTTTCTAATGTTGGTTGTTTATTTTGCCAATCAGTCAATTTTATGTCCTTTTTCCTTCGTTTCCAGTTGAATTTTTTCGATTCGCTTTCTCTGTACCGTTACAAGACACAAGTGGTAAAATTTAGGTTATGTCATCGCTTTTGAAAGCTTCAAGTTATTAACTTGGCATGCCTGACTTGGGAGGAAATTGACCCCTCCCGGGTCGGACCTGCCGGTAGGAGAGGGCAGGTGCTGTGTAAGACACCCTTTTGGGAGTTCAAGCACCATCAGTTTTCAACCAAAAATACAGACATGTCATAGGTTTAAGTATTACTGATAAACCTGGCAAGTTCACCGTGCGCGCACTTGGAGAGCAACTGTGGTGGGACCGAAGCCGACAACGCAAGGTCATGTGAAAAAGTCGAGCAAATAGAAGTGAGTTATTGATTCAGGTACCGTTACAGTGACATCCTAGGTGTTGGAACTTGGTAGATCTCGATAAAAATCTTCTATGATAGTAAGTTTTGCGAGGGTTATAGAGTGAAATTTATATACCAAATAATCCACCAACTTGGTTGATCTTTTTTTATAACATCAAAAGTAATGAATCTGTTCAAAAACGTCTTATGTTAACCTCCAGTAGTCTAAACATTTGCTGTACTAAAATTTGAAGAAAGAGTGAAAAAAAAAAAAAAAAAAAGAAAGGTCCATTTCTAGCTAGCTTCTGTTTGTCCAGGTTTCAACTCTAACCAAAGGAGTTGAATTCCATTCCAAAGTCATGTCATTCCCATTCTCTCCTCCTCTCACTCCATACGAGCTATCTGCTCCCACAATTTCTTTCGCCTCCATTAACATTTCCCTGCTCACTCTCCTACCCTCCAGCCCAAACCAGGGCTGAAGATTTCCGCCTTCTCTTGCTTCGTTCCATTTCTCGAACCATGCGTGAGAAGACACATACGGTGCAACAAACATCAACTCCATCACAATCCTGGCCTCTCCAAGATGGATCGGGAAGCTCGATTCAATAGACTCTAACAAGGCTTTGTAGTGCACAACATTAGCGTCAAAGGAGGAGTTGAAACTCGAGTCATTTCCCCTTTTCACACAAGCATCTCCGTCACCGAAAGTTATGATACCTCTTGCTGAATTGGCTAACAAATCCTTAGCTAGCCTTAAGAATTCCATGAGAAGTCCTCTGCTTCTTCTCCTCCTCATATGAGGAAGCCCTACCATAGAATTGAAGGCTAGAAATTCTCTCCTCCCACCTCTCTTGTTCGCCTTCTTGATTTCACTCACCAAATCCTCGATCTCGATCTCTTCCACCTTCAAGTTTACCCCGAAAGACCTTGCATGATGTTGGAGTTGCCTTTTTGTCTCCTCGAATCTCCACTGTGGAGGAGCAACCACATCACTCTCTTCCGCATCCCATTTAATTGCTGTCACTTCAAGTGTTTTGTTTCTCTTTGCCACAGCCTCAATCAGCTGAGACAATTGAACCCCTTCACCGATATCAAATTCCACTACATGAACCGTTTCTACATCCTCCGGGACAGCCTCGAGGATCGCGGTGTTTGCTCCGTAGTGAGCAAATCTCCCAAAAGGGAAGATTTGGTAGAACAAGTTGAAAGCGGCCTCAAAATTCTTGCAGGATTCTTGTTTCAAATAGTCTCCCTGCTGATTATCAACAACTCCTTGACATAAGTAGAATGCAAGGCGCTCAAGAGATTGACCAAGTGGGTTTACTTTCTCCACAAGGCATCTCATGATCACCTCCTCCAGCTCCCTCTGCCCCATCTCCATGGCCTCGCCGAATGCCTTGAGCAGATGGCGAATACTCACTTTGTTGTCGATTTCCATCTCGTCTCTGGGCAGGGTTATTGATTGTTGGACGGATGTCACATCCATGGAGGATGCCTCGGATATCGCAAAAGAGTTTGGACTCCACACATCATTTCCTTCACCAGAAAATTGCTGTGAAGGAAGCGTATTGCTTCCCTCACTGCCTTCCAAACATGAGGCATACATATTTTCAATCTCACCGATCAAATAATTTGTCTCGAATCCTCCCAACTCCATCGGAAATTCCTCTACCGCCATCGATGTGACTTGCAGGAGATTATCACAATCTGCAAGCTGTTCAAATTCACCAGAAAACATGGTTGAAAATGGAAAAGAAGTTTCTGAAAATTCGTCCGATGCCATGAAAATCGAAGAAAATTCAGAGCTCCCCATCTGCTCAGTGTATTCATTTGTATCCAAAGCTGAATTTGTTACATTCAGATATGGCCACAAGGTCTGAAAGTTCATCTCAGATTGCATCATCTTTTTCTTTTCTGATGAATAATTTTAAGAGGGTTTGAACACTTTTCTCTATGGGTTTGATTTGCTAATGAAGTCCTAATCCATCATTATATATTGGTGGGTGATAATGTAATGACAAATTACGCATAAAATAGTAGAAAAAACAGATGATTATTATAATGTAAAATTATTAATTAAGAGTTATTAATCACTATTTTATCTTCATAAACAATTACTAATCGTTCTCACCAACTTTCTACACAAGGCACACAAAATTTCACAGAAGGTTCCCCGGTCAATTCTCTTTGCCCTCCTGGCTGCTTCTTGAGGGGATGACTTATGTGCTGCACGTACCTTTGCATTTTAATCAAGAAAATTAGATAGATAATGATTCCTGTCTTTTCAACGTAATTACCCTTCATCATAAGAAAAGAAATATAACCTTAATTAATAAATTATTTAATGACTTAATTGTGTATTGACATTAAAAGCCCTCAATGTGAACAAGGGTATGATTCCAATTTGGTGACACAGAGTCTGATTATCCTTCCATACAGTGACACCTAGGTAGCTCTTCTACCCTTAACGAGCTATATTAATTGAATTCCCAAATGGTTTCCATCAAAACTCACTTTCATAGCTATAAAAAAAGAAAAATGAAAATAGAACACTTAAATAGTGTTTTGAAGAAAAAGAATACCTCTTGATCCTAACCTTAGTATTGAACTTGACTATTAACTTTAACAATTGTTCTTTGTGAGTCTTTCTAGTTCCGAAAATGCGGACTATCATAATGAAGCTGCCAGTTCATCATCTTAAAAAAAAAAGAAAAAAAAAAAAAACCATTGTTGCTAAGTACTGTTTTTTTTTAAATTAATTAATTAATTAATTTTTATCTATAGGTTGATTGTTTGAGTATTTTTTTCATTAATATGGACAGATGAAATTTACAATACTTCTTAACACACGGGCATTTTTACCCTTTGTTTTAACAAAATTAAATGAGAGCCCTTAAAGGTTATTGTGTAACGTTACATAATAATGGTAGTGTAATAACATATGATGACATTGTAGTTACTGTAACAAGGTAAGTTTTCGTTATAAACGTCGTATTCATTATGAAGGTAAGATGTTGTGCATAAATGTAACTACATTACAAAAGATATCGTAAATTAACTATATTAACACTGGTCAAGAAAATTATATGGATTGATTAAGTATAAAGAAAATTACGTATTTGGTTACGTCATAGAAGGAACTGGCGGTCGCCATATATTCCCCAATAGAAAAAACAAGCACGTACAATCAATCAACTTGCAGGTAATCTTCATGATTAAACATCCTATAATATTATAACAAATTCTAGGTCCGATTGGTTCAGATGGTTATTTTGGATAGCTTAGGGTCCATATTATATTATGTTTGATATTAAATTATACATGATATTATGATGTGTCAATCTTAAGGCCTGCAATATTCGTAATCCGTTGAATGTGACCCGGAAAAAGTTTCAGTCTCTTGTAAAACAATAAGGGAGAAATGCTTGATTTTATATAAGCATATTGGTGGAAACGATTTGAGATTGGGAACTTAGGGTGCAAGGAAGAATGCTCTAAAAATGAAATGAACTACAAACTTTTTAAGAAGAGATTTTTTTAGTGTGCTAGAAACATGGTCCAATACACATTATCATAATACAATTGGTGATTTTTATTTATTTATAAATCTTCAAATAATTGTATTATAACACTTGATGTACTGAACCATGTTCTTGGTACACTGAAAAATTTGTTCTTATTAAGAGAGAGGTGCTTGATGATTAGGACTCGGTATTTCCACGTAGACTCATGCCATTAGTTGTCTTCATATCATGTTAAGGAGATACCGTCGACACACAATTAGCTATTCATTAGAAAAAGGTGAGGAAATTAAAATGGTAGCTATAGCTACATATACATCTCCTAAGTATTTGGAGGAGGTCATAGTTAATCATAATTTGCTAGATAATGTTTGTTTAATTAAAGAAAGACTTTGGACGCAACCTCGTGCAAATTTACAATTACCAAATGCTGTCTTATGTTAACAGCAATCAATTCAAATTGCAATACTATAATCTTCATAATTAGGATAAGGATGACCCGCCGTTTCTGCATAATGCTATTCTGCAGAAAAAAACTTGAATCCATTTGTTTAAACTAATTCAGACCATCTACATTCTGCTGAGAGGGTAACATGCGCGTCAATTGATTGATTAATTATTAGTTAAATGTGATTATGTAATCAGATTGCGTGAATTATTATGTTGTTTGCAGTCTTAATTAGACTCTCCTCCAACTTCCCATAGTCTTATCTTTCACCTTGAACGATCCTGGGATTACATTCATTTTGTAATCTGCCCAAAACGTTGGAGTTATAAACTATTATTCAACATAGTACAAGTTCAATTGATACGGAAACTGTAGATTTGGATTAACCAAATTGTTAGGCTCCACTTGATGAGATTATATCAGATAATATAGCTGGGGAGGTGATTTCTGCAAATCATTTTCTTAGTGTGTACACTTGTATTTATTTACGATATTTGGATTGAATAAACTAAAGAAAAATCAAGAAAGACAGAAATAAACAACAATGTACAGGAAGATAAAATGTGTATATGCTGAAATTATTTCCATACGTTGCATGCATTAGAAATATTGATTGAATATTTTATAAGAGCATATCTTTAGAGATCATCATATTTCTTAGGCTCTCTACATGGAAGATGTCGAAGCATGAAGG